GGGGGGCAGACAGTGGGAGGTGGGGCTGGGGAGGGCAGAGGCAGAGGCAGCAGGCTTGCCAGTCCAGAGCCAGGCCGAGATGCAAACGCTGCCAGGCAGGCTGTGGGAGGCGGGCACCGGGGCAGGGCGGGGAGACACGGGCACCCGGCGGAAACGATAGCATCGGCCCTCCTCCGCGGCCCGCCCCCCGCCTTTCAGTGTGCTGTCCCCGCCTCCTCCAGTCCCTCCACTCCCCGTACCCAGGAAGGCCGTGTGGGTTTCGAGCTCTGCTTTCGCTTTCCCTTCCTGGTACCCACTCCTGGCTCCTCGTGCGGTGCTCGGCCCCCGGCCCCAGCCATGGCCACGCTCAGGGTCCAGCCTGAAGCCCAAGCCAAGGTGAGCCCTGCGGATTCAAAGTGTGTATGTGGGAGGAGGCATTAGAGAGGCGTGGCGCGGAAAAGATGGGGGCTCCCGAGACCTGTCCCTACCCTGCACCTGAGCAGGGGTCAGCTAGCCAAACCTACAGGCCCGAGCACTTGATCCCCTGGGTGTTGGTGAGACGGCTGTGGTTCAGCGGGGTGAGGTGAAGCCGAGAGCTGGTGTGAAGTCTGCTGGCCTGGGGCCCGGGCCACCCAGCCCGGGAGTGGGACTTGCCCCTGACACTGCTTCCTTGTGATCTTAACCTCAGAAAGGGCACCTGGACGCACTGCGCAAGACACTCTGCCTCTGCCCTTTGGCAGACGGTGTTCTTATCCCTCCTTGCACAACCCAGGTGACTCCAGAGATGAAATACTCATTGGCCACCAGGAAATGTCCTTATCCCCAAAACCACCACCCACCCCACCCCCATCCACTCCACTCTCCCTAGATCCAGCTGTACTGAAAGGTACTCCACCACCCCAGGCCACCCTTCACAGGACCATCTCACCTTCTTCAGGTGTGGCCTTAGAGGGATCCACTCCTCCTGTGTCAGGCCCTACACAACCGTCAGGGAACTGACCTTAAATGAACTAGCCTTAAGAGCCTTAAAGTCAGGTTTCTGAAGGGTTGCCTGTGCCCCACAGGTGGATGTGTTTCGTGAAGACCTGTGTAGCAAGGTAAGACTGCCCTCACCAGCACCCCCACCTTTACCTAGCTCCTGCTGATCTGCCCTCTTCTCCTGCTGGGAGTGAGCCCTGACTTCACCGCCTAAGAAAGGGCATTTGATCCTGACCCTATCCTCCACTACCTCACACACAGACAGAGAACCTACTTGGGAGCTATTTCCCCAAGAAGATTTCTGAGCTGGATGCATTCTTAAAGGTACTGGGGCCAAGCAAGGAGCCAAGAGGAGACTGGGGGTGGACTGAGAGCGAGGTGAGAGGGACACCCTCATCTCCAGCCCCTCCCTCACTATACACCAGGAGCCGGCTCTCAATGAAGCCAACCTAAGCAATCTAAAGGCTCCACTGGACATCCCAGTGCCTGATCCAGTCAAGGAGAAAGAGAAAGAGGAGCGGAAAAAACAACAGGAGGTAAGCTGGGAGATCTGGGAGGAGGGGCCCAACCCTAGGGAAAGTCAGCCCTAGTCCTGTCGCCCATGAGCTACTCCCGCCCTACAGAAGGAAGACAAGGATGAAAAGAAAAAAGGGGAGGATGAAGACAAAGGTACTTGAAATTAATGTGCTGGGAAAAGGCTTGGGCCACTCCACAGGAACTCCTAAAGAGTTCTGTTCTACTCTCCCTTTCCCATCCTCGAAGTCATTAACTGAATCTTCGCATTGCGTATTGTACCCTCTAGGTCCTCCTTGTGGCCCAGTGAACTGCAATGAGAAGGTCGTGGTCCTCCTACAGCGCCTAAAGCCCGAGATCAAGGATGTCATTGAGCAGCTCAATCTGGTGAGCCCTGCCACTTCCACCCCCAGGCTTCAGGTCAAACCCTTTGTCCTCTTGGTCTCTGCCAATTATGGCATGACACCTGCCAGGTTCTAGGAGAGAGTCTAGTGAGCCAGCAGTTGCCTGAGGCTCAAGATGGACCTGGCGTCCCTCCACCCACTTTGGGCAGAGATATGAACCTGGATAGTGGGATATGTGGCAGGGGGATGGGGAGGAGGTGTGATTAAAGCCTTGATACCATTCCTTTCCTCCCAGGTCACTACCTGGTTGCAGCTACAGATACCTCGGATTGAGGATGGGAATAATTTTGGAGTGGCTGTCCAGGTAAGAACACTGCCCCCTCATTCTCTAGTCCTCCAATGCAGCTCTTGTATCCTTCCAACCCCCAACTTTCTTTCCTCAGGAGAAGGTGTTTGAGCTGATGACCAACCTTCATACCAAGCTGGAAGGCTTCCATACTCAAATCTCTAAGTGAGTGACTGGCCACTGTACACCCACCCACACCTACTCTCTTTGTTTTGGGACAGGCCTGGGCTCCCTCCTTTTCCTACTATATACAGACCACTTCCACTTTTCGTAGGTACTTCTCAGAGAGGGGTGATGCGGTGACGAAGGCAGCCAAGCAGCCCCATGTGGTAGGTGAGGCCCAGGTCAGGGTGAACCGGGGAAGACAATTCAAATCAGGTCTGACCCTGAGTTTCCACAGGGGGATTATCGGCAGCTGGTACATGAGCTGGATGAAGCAGAGTACCGGGACATACGACTGATGGTCATGGAGATCCGTAATGCTTATGTGAGGAGTAGGACAGGGGTGGGCAGAGGCACCTATCCCAGACCACCCACTTTCTGACCCAGCAGGCATGGGATGGAGGATGACAAAGATCAGCCTTTCCAGAGCTAGAAATGGGACACAGAACCACTGGGGGCCCATGGCTGACTCCCACTCCTCCATGGTCCTATAGGCTGTGTTATATGACATTATCCTGAAGAACTTTGAGAAACTCAAGAAGCCACGTGGAGAAACAAAGGGGATGATCTACTGAGTGCCTCCTCTCATTCTGTGATGGCTACAGCAGAGACCTGCCTGCTTCTCACCAGGCACTCCACACTTTACCCTACCTTCCTCCTGCTGGGGTTTCTCCCTCACTTTGCCTCCCAAACACAATAAATATATCACTGCCCACCAGCCTATCTCTTTATTGGATTCTGATCCTCCTGGCTCAGGCATTTGCATTCGTGGGACCAACCCATTGGGTGATTTGCGTGTTGAGCTGCTGATTTGTCCAGTCCTGCCGAATGTCATCAAGGTGGCAGTCAAAGTCCACAAGGTGCTGGTGGGCCCGGCCTTCCAACAGTGCTCCCACCATCTGCCGTGACTCTTCCCAATCTCTCCACATCACTCTGACATTTAAAAAAAAAAAAATCATAGCAGTCAAACAGTGAGCTAGATACAGACTTAACAAAGGTTCTATCTAGAGAAAAAGTTTTGATGGAGGACCAAGGACAAAGGAGGCCCAGGAGTCTTGGGCTTCCAAGAACGGACAGAGGTAAGGGGCACTCACAAGTTCTTGTCCTTGGGTACCCAGCGAGGACCTTGGCTCTCCAGGACGATGACTGGAGGTACACGAGGCTGAGTTACCAGTTTCTTATTATCCAACTGGGTAGACAAAAGGCAGGTGAGAGTTTTAAGGATCCTTCTCCCTATGTTTCTCCACCTCCCCACTCTATAAAGCCCAAGCCTCACCATAATAAGTACTGCATCAGGGAAGAATTCTGCAATTCGCCCAGCAATTTTCAAGGCCAGGGGCCCAGGGCTGTGTAGAGGGAAGATCAGAGGAGTGAGGCGCCGACTGTGGGCAGACCCAGTCCATCTGAGGTGGGCCTCCCATGTCTCATAGATGTGGGTACAGTTGTAGCCTTTCCCTGAAGCTGCCCTGGGGGTGATGGGCCTGCTTGATGCTTGATGGATGATAGCTTCATGCTTGAGTGCTGTGGGAAACGTGCTCAGATATTGCTGGTGAGAGCAAAAAAATCAAAGGTGGGATTTGGGGAAGGTAGTTTTGCTTAACTATCCAAATTAAAACCAAGAAATTACATTTATAAGGAATATACTGTGTGGGGCAGGATGGCACAGGTCTTTAATCCCAGCACTCTGGAGGCAGAGACAGCAGCAGAGGCAGGTGGATCTCTGTGAGATGGAGGCCAGCCTGGACTACATAGTGAGTTCCAGGTCAGCTGGGGCTACAGGGAGACCCTGTCTCAAAAAAACAAAGAACTTATTGGGTAGAAGGAAGGGGACCAGCAAGAAGGGGGCAAGAGAACAGGGTAGGATACTAGGGGAAGGGACAATTAAGAATAAAGTATGTGCCGGGCGTGGTGGCACACGCCTTTGTTCCCAGCACTGGGGAGGCAGAGGCAGGTGGATCTCTGTGAATTTGAGGCCAGCCTGGTCTACATAGAGAGTTCCAGGCCAACTGGGGCTACAGGGAGACCCTGTCTCAAAAAAGACCAAAAAAAAAAAAAAAAAGTATGAAAATGCCACAGTGAAACCTTTTACTTTGTATGCTAACTTAAAAACAATTCTTGGGACTGGAGAGATGGCTCAGCAGTTAAGAGCATTGACTGCTCTTGCAGAGGGCCTGGGTTCAATTCCCAGCACCCACATGGCAACTGCAAACCATCCTTAACTTCAGTTCCAGGGAATCCAAAGCCCTCTTCTGACCGCCGAGGCATTGCACGACACTGGTGCACTCACTTACATGCAGGCAATATACTCATACACATAAAATAAAAACAACAAATTTAAAAAAATCATTTGTTAAAAAAACACAATTCTTAAAGAATTTACTATAATAATAGGACCGTCTCTGAAATTAAAAATTGGAGATAACTTCAATGCTTAAGGCATTAATTATAGTATGTCCATATTCACACTATACGGTTGTTGGGATAAAATAGATCTCTTGATGTAGAGATGGAAAGATATCAAATATCTATTATGTGAGGGGAGGAGCAAATTACAAAATAGATCTAACTGATCTAAATGCATTTGATGTGTGTGTTCTATGTATCACATATGCATATAAAGTGGAAGTTTTTTAAAGTTGCTGACTGCGCTTTCTCTGTTCCTACAGCACTTGGAGAGTACCTCAGTTAAGATCAGTCTGTAATGTGGAAATGTGCAGCTGCCTCACCCACTGCAGCTCCTCCTGGGCAAGACCCTGTCACACTCATCTTTGATATCTTCTCAGTCCAGGACTCAGTTTAGTGCCTTGGTTCATTTGCACCCCATCCACACCGTCCATAATTCTCTGCCTTCTGCCTCTGGGTCCTCCACTCACCTCTGGTCATCCAAAGCTGCATTGGCGTGGTAGTAACCGGCTACCACTAAACCGGCCTGTGCGCCCCATACATCCACCTGTCATGAAAAAGAGATCATCAGTAACTAAATGGTGCCACTGGCTTTGTGGGCGCACACTGCTGCCAAGGGGCTACGAAGGGATCTGGGCTAAGGGTTCTAGAGGGTTGGCGGGACGAGGGGGGCTGTGGCGCGCGGGGTTCCAGCGCGGGCACCTGGTTGAGCGCGACCTCCAGCATGACGGACAACGCCAGGTGGCTGTGGAAGAGGGGCACACAGTCAGTGAGGCAGAGGCACGCTCCGGAGCGCGGCGTGGGGGCCAGCAGCAGCCCGTTGACCGCAGCGTGCGGGTACCGAGCTGCGTGCAGGCACATCTTCCCGTAGGCCCGGGCGGAGATCTCCACCTCCCCCATTGCGAGCCCCGCCTGTCCGCGCGCAGCAAACCCGATCAGTGCCGCTTCCCCACCACGGCCAACGAGCTAGGCCTTGCCCGGTGCCCTGTGACCTCCGTCGGCAGCCAAGCCAGCGGTCCAGCAGTCAAGACTCGGCTACCGAGCTCCGCCTCCTCCGGCCTCTCCCGGGCAGGCCTCGTCTGCGCCTGCTCCGGCGGTGCCCTCCCGGAGCCCAGCCTCCGCAGTGCTCTTTGATTCGATAGGGCTAGAGGTTCTCAGTTTGTCCAATCCAAAAACTTAAATTTTGTTTTGCCCCGCCTTTCCCTAGAAAGAATTGGAAAGACTACAAAATGGCAAAGAAAGGAAAATAGCCCCTACGTTCATTCCCTGGGTTGCCTGACCTCTGCTTTGTTTTGTTGGGTTTGGGGGGACAGGGTCTCAGGTAGCCCAAGATGGCTTCAAACTTAATGAACCTTTTGCTTCCATCTCTCAAGCGAAAGTGCTGGGGTTACAAACCATAAGCCACCACATCCACTTCCCGACTTAAGCAAGTGATTGTAGGTAGGCTCTCTGGTTTGCCTGCCCTGTCCGCCCCCACAGGCTTCTGACCCAGCCAGCTAGGTGGAGGGCTAGCCCACGGTTGGAGACAAAGCCGACCTCCTTGCTCCTACTGTAGAACGAGTGGATCTGCATGGTAGACTAGATCTCTCACTTAGCCTTACCTTTCCAACTGCAGGTAACTAACCTTTGGCTTCCTTAATGAACCTTTAATGTAACTAAAAGGCCATGACCCTTGAAGGATTAAAAAGATATGGGCTCCGACTTCCAAACTGTCAAGTGCTATGAAGGGCATTCTTATCTCATATTTTAAAACAGAACAAGGCCCTGTATTAAAGAGCAGTCCTTCAGAGTCTATAGCAAACAGCACAGCAGAGGAATCCGTCTCTACCACAGATGTGAATCTGCTGGGTGTGGTGGTGCATACCTGTAACCCCAGCACTCAGAAAGTGGAGGAAGGAAGATCAGGAGTCAAGGCCAGCCTAGCCTATGAAACCTTATCTTAAAAATAAAATAAAATAAATTTTTAAATCACTTAAATCCCAGCAGATATAAAGACAGAAACTGGCCAAGGAAAGGGACAAGAGACAAAAATGTTAGACAAATTATCCTCCCAGTAATGCCCTGTGGTACATTTCAGTGTGACGCCTCCGGAGGACTCTTCCTGCATGTCAGCCCTGAGAAACCCAGGTAACCTCACTCTCCTTCCAGGCTTGCTCTGAGCACCACAACTGTTCCTTTCTGTATTCCCACACCTCAGCCACAAAGATTCCCAGTCTATCCGAAGCCTGATTCCTCCTCTAACGGCTCAGTTCAAATACCACGAGATCAGCAGATGGAAATACCCTTGTGAAATTCCAAACTGTGGGTTACCTTCATGGCTGACAAGACATGCAAACGTCTACCCTGTTCTTTAAGAGGATCTGTCAAGAACAAGATGGACCTCAAATTCATTTTTGCCTTCCTGGCACCCTTTCCCACCTCCACTATCATCTTCACCGAGAGTGTATAGACACAGGTGGTTCTCAATAAATGCTCTTTGAATGAATGACACACAGCAGAGGTAATCCACACAAAGTTTAAGTATTTATTTTCCTTATAGTCTTGAGCTCAGTACATAGATGGCTTTTCTTCACCCTTTGGGTTGACAATTTTCTCTAAGTTGCTGCTGATGATATGATAAAGCTCAGCCTGGAAGAAGGCCATAAGAACAAGAGTTAGGTTCTTGGATTCCCCTCCCCTTCCATCCACCTCTCTCAGAAGCTTATTCTACACTCACATAGAAGGCCCTCAGGTCCAGCACCATGGCCCTGAGCTCCCCATAGGCTGCTTCATCTCGCTCATGAACCAAGGCCCGGTAATCCATCTGAGATGTAGGAGGCAAAGCTGAGTCAGCACCATGGGAGTTTGGAGCATTAATCTTGTTTCCTCATACAGAGACTAGGTAACTTGAAGAGCCCCACCTCAGCACCAACAAATGAGATGACAAAGAATTAAGTAGAGAAAAGCGTCAAGGATACTGAAGCCCTAATCAGTTTTTCTTTTTGGCTTAATAGTCTCCACATTTTGCAAGTCATAAAAAAGACGAGGGAGGACCTTTTCTCCCCACTCCAATCCCACCCCAGCCAGCCTCAGCTCAAAGACTGATGGATTATGCACTCACTACATGGGTCTCCTTGGAGGCCTTGGCCACAGCATCCCCACGTTCGGAGAAGTACCTGCCAGAAGTAAGGGAAGCACCACCGAAATGTGTGTTCAAAGAGAAGTACATCCACAGCCTCCCCCAAGTCTCCCATCATTCTGACAGAACTGCTGGCTTCAGGAATCGTGCAGAAGTGCCCCTGTAGCCCCCTGTGGGGCCTGTAGCTGCTCTCACTTGGAAATGGTTGTCTGGAAGGCTTCTGCTTTGGTCTTGACGGCATTCACTCTCTCCAGCACCTTCTCCTGTGGTAACACGAGAGGCAAAGACTCCATCTCCTCTCCCCCTACCATCTCCCTCCTCCTAGTCCATGTCTCCTTTCTATTTCTCACTCCCAAGTCTCTTCCCACTCTGTGTCTTCAGTCACACAGTTCTTACTTGAATTGCCACCCCAAAATCATTTCCATCCTCAATCTTGGGGATCAGATGCTGGATCCATGTGATCACCTGTATTAAAGGGAGCAATCAGTCAAGGAATCTACCGGATTCCTCCTATTATACTACTTCTTAACAACAGCCTTATCTAACTGAGCATTCATTATGTGCCAGGTACTATGAATTGTCTCATTTAATCATCAGTAATCTTCCAAAGCATATATTATTACTGTACCTATTTAACAGACGAAACAAGCAAACATAGAATGTCTAAGAGAGCTAAATGATAGAATCAGGATTTGAACCTTGTTTCTTTCTTGAACTCATACTTTTTTAAAAAAATGTTTATTTTTATTTTATGTGTAAGAGTGTTTTGCCTACATATATGCAAGTGTACCATGCGTGTGCAATGCCTGAAGAAGACAGAAAAGGGAGTCAGATCCCCTGAAACTGGAGTTAAGGATAGTCATTGGCCACCGGGTGCTAGGAACCCAACCCAGGTCTCCTGGAATAGCAGCAAGAGCTCTTCACTGCTGAGCCATCTCCAGTCCCAGGCTCATACTTTTTTTTTTTTTTTTTCCGGTCTTTTTTTTTTTTTGAGAACAGGGTCTCCCTATAGCCCCAGCTGGCCTGGAACTCACTATGTAGAACAGGCTGGCCTTGAACTCAGAGATCCACCTGCCTCTGCCTCCCAAGTGCTAGGACTAAAGGCGTGTGCCACCACACCCAGCTGGTCATACTTGCTTTTGATTTGTTTTTTGAGACAGAGTCTCTGTGTAGCCCCAGCTGGCCTAGAACTGGATACACCGACCAGGCTGGCCTTGACCTCACAGAGATCTGCCTGCCTCTGCCTCTGGAGTGCTGGGATTAAAGGTGTGTGCCACACCTGGCCAGGCTCATACCTTTAAACCACCCACAGTATCACATAACCCCCACTGTATACCTAATAAATAGATTCTAAGATCATAGAAATGGATACAGTGTAGTCTCTCATTTTGGGGCTGCTATTGTGATACCAGAGGTCGAGCAAAATGAGAAGAACCAAGGGTAGCTAAACCCAAAGGAAGATGATGCAGTGGGCAGTGCTTGTTGTGCACACAGGAGGACCTGAATTCAGATTCCCACACATGCTAAAAGCTAGGCACAGTGGGGCAAGTCTATAACTCCAGTGTTGGGAGGGGCATACACAAGCAGATCCTGGGGGTCTCGCTGGCCAGCCAGTCTAGCCAAAATAACAAGCTCCAGGTTCGGTGAGAAACCCTATCTCAAAAAGTAAGGCGGAAACCAACAGAGGAAGACTCCTGACATTAACTCCACACATGCATGCACTGGCAAGTACACCTGCACATGTACACACCAACACACATGAGCACACACAGTTAAAAAATAAACCTGAGGCACGTAAAGAAGTTTCCTTATTTGAGACTAGGATGAAAGACCTGCATCTCTGGAGCTCTCAACCTTGCCTTGCCCTCCTTCGCTTCACACCACCACCACCCCAGTTCCCAGGCTTACCAGAATGCACTTCTCTTTGAGAGTCCAGACTTCTGGCTTAACCACAGTGAGCAGGGCCAGAAGCTTCTCATTCCCCGGGAGAAAGCCACACTTCGGGACTATAAGAAAGAGGGGATCCAGGCCTTTTTGTTATCCCAGGTCAGGGTGCCATTTTCCTTTGCCTCCCTAGTCACCCAGATACCCATTACCTTCTTTCTTCTCCTGCTTATCTGTTTCCATCTAAGATAAAGGCAGGAAACACAGCTTCAGAAAACTCATGGAGGGTTATCTTCTCCGCTGAGTTTATAGTCTAAGCTCTACACCCTCAGTGCCTCACCTCATCATCCTTGGGTGGGGGATCTGGAATAGGGATGTCCAGTGGAGCCCGGAGGGAGGTCAGATCAGCCACATTGAGGGAGTCCTCCTGCAAAGTTCACTCTCAGTCACTCCCCAGCCTCCTCCTCTCACCCAGGACCACAGCCTTCCCTCCACATATTCCATCTCCTCTCTCCCTCCCAACCTAGGCTGGAGCTTTGCACCTGCATGCTGACATGAGTTGCTGGCTAGAGAGGACAGGTGGTGGGGAAAGTGGAGACGATTCCACACCACTCACCTGCAAGAGCTGACTCAGGGATAGGATTTTCTGTGGCAAGAATTTGCAGAGGAAGTCATCCGCCTATGGGTTACAACAGTAATCATAGATGTCCAATGAGATGTATGAGAAATGTGCCTTAGACATCACTGAGTCCAAGATTCACAAATGAGGAATTGAAGCCCTGAAAATAAAGGGACTTACCCAATATGGTATATGGTTCAGATTTACCCAATTTGGTATATGGCAGGACTAAGGTCAGGACTATGGTGTTACAACTTTGGGAGCCATATCTTTCCCTCCCGATCAAAAGAAAGTAGGGGAAGGGGCAAAGGGCATTGGCATTCTAAGAGCGTACAGCAAGCAGAAACCGATTATTAGTTCACCTTGAATGAGCTTGATAAGGTAAGACCAAGTCTAGGATGAGTTCGGGGGTTACTTGGAGGTTGTGACTCTCAAATACTGCACTAAGATTCTCGGTCAAACTGCACGAATTCAAAGGCTTACCTCCTGGAAAAGATTTTGTCTGAAGACATCCACCTGCACAGAGAGTAGGAACCGGATGCTAGGTAAGGGTTTTGTGTGTAAAGAGTAAGATCCCACCCCCCGCCAACAGGGTGCTCTAACTGTAGCTCAGTCCTTTCCAACAAGCCAGATTTCCCTGGAAGACCCTGCTCAGACTGGCTAGAGGGCAGGACACTAGGAATCCCTCCGCAAAAGTGAAAGCCCTAAAGAAAGAGAAGACAGACCGAGAGTTCTCCGGCACCACCTTGAGGCCCGGGAGCACCGAGCTTTGTCTCGGTTAGGAAGGCTCCTCAACCCCTTCCTAGCCTCCGGTTCCCAGTTACCTGTTTTCGGGCTTCCCCACTCAGGCGCACCCCACAAGGCTTCGCCATGCTCCCCCAGTTGCAAGCCCTCGGGTCTACGGGGCCCCCAGCTTTCGCTTTCACTCTCCAGTCCAGATCCGCCCCCCTCAGCCACGCCCCCCTCCCTCTTTCCCCCTCCCCTTGGCAGGCCACCAGTTGGTTGCCATTCCCAGCCGGTAGCCGGGAGAGGCGGTGCTGACTCTGTCCCCAGCCTAGGGGGCTGTCCAAGGGAGGGACTGGGGACAGAGTGGGACGGCCGCAGGCCCTCGAGAAGGGCCGGGCTGAAAGAGAGGGCCGTCCAGGGGGCGTGTAGGGTTGGTACAAGGACGGGGGAATGGGAGAGGGGGGACCAAGGGTGGGGCTCCCAGAAAAGGATCGATGTTGAGGAGGGGAGATGGAGAGGGAGCCCAAACAGTAGGAAGGACAGGAAGAGGGAAAGCCTGGGTGAAGGGCTGGCAGGATGTGGACTCGAGCGGGCGCGGGGACTGCCCCGGGAAGGTGCCTTGCCTGCAGGACAGACTGCAGGAGCGCGGGACTCGCCTGAGCAGGGCTCGGGCCGGCCGGTGTCGGGTCCCAGGCAAGGTGGGACTTCCCGGCTGGGAATCGGAACAGAGCCACAGACTGGGAACATAGGGAAGTTCGGCGCGAACTAGGTTCAGGCCGGGATCCACCCGGAAGGGGCAGAGACAGCGGAGAGCAGGGTGGGCATCCGAGAGGAAGGTTCCGGGCGCTGAGGGAGGGACCAGGGCCCCTTGCCTCCTGATTTCACCAATCAGGACCTGGCCACGCCCTCCCGCTGCCCGACCTCCCTTCACCTCAAGCCCCGCCCCTTCCCAAGCTGGCGGTCTTTGCTGGCCACTCCCTCCCGCTGCCCGACCTCCAGGCCTCAACCTTAAGCCCCGCCCCTTCCTCTAAGCTGGCCGTCCTGGCCACGCCCTTCCGCTGCCAGACCTCCGGTCCGCAACCTTAAGCCCCGCCCCTTCCTCTAAACTGGCTGGCAGTCCCACCCTCACTGCCAGGACTTCCTCCTGGGGGCTCATCCGGCTGAGAGGCCGAGACTGGGTGGCCCGAGTGACCTCCGGGGCCGTGGGGCGGAGTCGGGCGGCAGGCTGGACGGCGGACCGGAGGGAGGCGGCTCTGGGGCTGCGCGCAGCCTGCGCCCGGGCCAGGCGGGCGGCGATCTCGGGATGCCGGGCGAGGTGGAGCGAGTCTTCCTCGCGGCGCGCGAGGAGCTGGCGAGCGCCCTGAGGAGGGACTCTGCGCAGGGCTTTTCCCTGGAGCAGCTCAAGCCGCTCCTGGCCACCTCTCTACCAGCTGCCGCCCGCTACCAGCATCTGGACGCCGGGCGCCTGGTCCGCTGCAACGCTCATGGAGAGGTGAGGCCAGGCCCGCGTGGGGTCCGGGGCCCCGGGTCGTGGGACCAGGTGTCTGGGCTCACAGCCCTGATTTCTGCCCTCAGCCCCGCAACTACCTCAACACTCTATCCACCGCCCTGAACATCCTGGAAAAATACGGTCGCAACCTCCTCAGCCCTCAGCGGCCTCGGTACTGGCGCGCGGTGAAGTTTAATAACCCAGTCTTTCGGAGCACGGTGGATGCTGTGCAGGTGAACCTCTTGGGCCTTAGGGGAGAAGGGGACTACACCTAGGCTGCGGTTGTCTAGAAGGGGCGTGGGGCCATGCAGAAATGGGGAAAGGTCAATCTTGCTGTCCGGGCGGGAGGACTGCTTGGCCGTGACCCGGGTATGAATGTGTGGCAGGGGGGCCGTGATGTGCTGCGATTGTATGGCTATACCGAGGAGCGCCCAGATGGCTTGAGTTTCCCCGAAGGGCAGGAGGAGCCAGATGAGTACCAGGTCGCCTTAGTCACACTGGAGGTGCTACTGCTTCGCATGGAGCTCAGCCTGCTGTTGCAGGTGAGATGTCCCTCTAATCTATGTAAACCAGGCTGGCCTTCATCTCACACAGATCCTCCTGCCTCTGCCTCCCGAGTGCTGGGATTAAAGGAGTTAGTCACCTCCACCGGCTAAGGTGGGAACTCTTAATCTTGTTTGCAGAATACTCACCCAAGACCCAAGGCACTGGAGGAGCTGCTAAAAGACAGAGTTGAAGATGATGTAAGGAGGGCAGAAAGGGTGCTGTAAAACCAAGGGAACAGGAATTATAGGACTGAGTGCCCAATACTCGCTCAATTCTCTGCTGTTTCTTCCTCAGACGCTGCAGCTTTCAGAGTTTCACCCTCTGTTGAGAGAGATTGTTCCTGGCCCCCTCTCCACACCCTCTACCCCAGGTATTATTGGTCCTGTATGGGAGAGAGTATGTTGATGGACATTTAAGACCTTCCTCTTACCTTCTTGTCTTTATATTTTATTTCAAGAGATTAAAATTATTTTCATGGGTCCAGCCGTGGTGAAGAATGGTATTGTGATTTTCTGTAGTCCATAGCAGATTTATATGCAACCTGGTCTTTTTTTAATATTTATTTTTAATTATGTATATGTGTATGTGCAGGTAAGTGCGTGTGCCTGTGGAGACCAGAGGTGTCTGATCACCTGGTAGTGGTGAGTTGCCCAATGTGGGACTCAAATTCTGGTCCTCTGCAAGAGCAGCAAGTACTCTTTAACAGTTGAGCCACCTCTCCAGCCCCATGACCTCATCTTTGAAAGAAAACATGTTGAGGCGGGTGGATCTCTTTGAGTTCAAGACTAGCCTGGTCTACATAGTGAGTTCCAGGTCACCTGGGGCTACAGGGAGACCCTGTCTCAAAAAGGCAAAAAAAAAAAATAAAAAAAAAGAAAAGAAAACATCTGGGGGAGGCTGGAGAAATGGCTCAGTGGTTAAGAGCACTGACTGCTCTTGCAGAGGACCAGGATTTAATTCCCAGCACCCATATGACAGCTAAGAACTATCTGTAACTCCAGTTCCAGGGCATCCAACACCCTGTTCTGGCCTCCATAGACACTGCATGACACTCGTGTACTTAACACACTTGCAGGCAAAACACTCATATACACAAAATTAAACTTAAAAAAAAAATACTCTGGGGAGCTGGAGAGATGGCTCTGTGGTTAAGAGCATTGACTGCTCTTGCAGAGGACCCGGGTTCAATTCCCAGGACCTACATGGCAGCTACAAACTGTCCTTAACTCCAGTTCCAGGAGAATCCGAAGCCCTCTTCTGACCTCCGCGGCATTGCACTACACAGGTGCACTCACATACATGCAGGCAATACACTCATACACATAAAATAAAAATAATAAATAAGCCGGGCATGGTGGCACATGCCTTTAGTCCCAGCATTCGGGAGGCAGAGGCAGGCGGATCTCTGTGAGTTCAAGATGAGCCTGGTTTACATAGTGATTTCCAGGACAGCTGAGACTACAGGTAGACCCTGCCTCAAAAAGACAAAAAATAATAATAATAAATAAAATAAAATAAAAATATTCTGGGGCTAGAACTATAGACGCATTTGCCCAGCATGCCAGATGCTCTTGGTTGGATCCCCAGCACCACAAAAAAAGAAAAGACAGGACCAGGCATGGTGGCACACGCCTTTAATCCCAGCACTCGAGAGGCAGAGGCAGGCGGCTATCTGTGAGTTCAAGGCCAGCCTGGTCTACATAGTGAGTTCCAGGACAGCTGGGGCTACTGGGAGACCCTGTCTCAAAAAGACCAAAAAAAAAAAAGAAAGAAAGAAATCCATGTTTTAATTCTATTGCTTTTTTTCCAGGCTCCACTCCTGGGCCCTGCTTTCTTTGTGGTTCTGCCCCAGGCACACTGCATTGTCCAGCCTGTAATCAGGCCTCATGCCCAGCCTGTGACCTTTTGTTCCATGGACACCCATCCCGTGCTCATCACCTCCGCCAGACCCTGCCTGGGGCCCTTCAGACCCCCCACCTAAGCCCTAGGTAAAAGGCTTCCATTTCTGGTGGGAGTGAAATTAAGAAAATTTAAGATCACTTGAGTAGCTTATTATGTGTCAGGTTCTGTGTTAAAGACTGAGTAATAGCCCTTAAGGAGATGACAGACATAAACACTAAGCAAGTGGTAATCATAATATAGATTATTATGGTATACAGATATATAGTAGATACAGTCTGATCTGAAGGATCAACTCAATCAATTGGCAGCACCTAGCATGATTATGGCCCTGTGTTAGCGATGGTTACCTGAAAGAAGTTAGCTATAGTCTGTTGTCTAAATATAAATACTCAACAGACTATTGGGATGGGAGTGTTCCAGACAGAACAACATTTACAGAGGTCAGAGTCACATGCCATTACCTAGGCAGTGGGAGGTGCACAGGGGTGGGGGACTTAGTACTAACTCCCCAAATTAGCAGACCATATCTGCTTTTCTGTTACAGTTTACCTGCCTCATCCCAACCACGGTCCCACTCAACCTCCCTGACCCTGGGAGACAGCTCTCTTTCTTCCCCTGATCCTGCAAATGCCTGCCTGCCCTGGCACTGTGCTGCGTGTGCCATGCTAAATGAGCCTTGGGCAGTGCTCTGCGTGGCCTGTGATCGGCCCAGAGGCTGTAAGGTGCTGGGAATAGAGGGTTCCCAAGGTACTGGGAGTGTAGAACCTGAGCTTGCACGGGATCGGTGGGCCTGCCAAAGCTGTACCTTTGAGAACGAGGCAGCAGCTGTGCTGTGTGCCATGTGTGAGCGACCTCGGCTAGCCCAGCCTCCCAGCTTGGTGGTGGATTCTCACAATGCTGGCTTGTGCCTGCAGCCCCTTAAGGTAAAGGTAACCTGTTCTTGGCCTTCCCAGGTCTTTATTCACACCTGTTACCTAAAGCTAGTTTCTATTTCACAGTCCCCATTTTCCTTTAGTTCCTCTAGCTCCCTATAGTTCTATCATGAACCTTGGCCACCCAGTCAGTTGGCTAATTCTCTCTACTTTTCCAGCAGGGGGATACTTTGCTGTCATCTGCCCAGACTCAAGTCTGGTACTGTATTCATTGTACCTTCTGCAACTCGGGCCCTGGCTGGGTGTGTACCATGTGCAACCGGACCAGCAGCCCTAACGCAATACAGCATGACCCCCAGCCCTATGCCAGCTCTTTGGAAAAGGGACTCCCAAAGCCTGGGCCCCCACAACGCTTCAGTACCTCTCTAACCAGTTCCTGTGGAGACCCAGAGAAACAACGCCAAGATAAGATGCGGGAAGAAGGTTGCCAGCTAGTGAGCATGATCCGGGTGAGGATTGGGCCTGAGATGACATGGAGCCAAGCTGGTGGGGAAGAAAAGATGCTGTAGTTTGTTAATAGGGGTTCTTACAAAATTCTTTTTTGGCCAGGCGTGGTGGCACACGTCTTTAATCCCAGCACTTGGGAGGCAGAGGCAGGTGGATTTCTGTGAGTTCAATCTCTGTGATCTCTGAGTTCCAGGCCACCCTGGTCTACATAGTGAGTTCCAGGACAGCTGGGCCTACAGGGAGACCCTGTCTCAAAAAGACCGAAAAAAAACAAAAAAAAAAACCTCTTTGTTGTCAGGCATAGTGGTGCTCACCTGTCGTCCCAGCATTTGGGATGCAGAGACAGGCGGATCTCTGTGAATTCAAGGGCTGCCTGGTCTACATAATGAGTTCTACATAGGACAGCTGGGGCTGCAGGGGGACCACCCTGTCTCAAAAAGACCAAAAAAAAAAAAAAAAAAAAACTCTTTGTTGTTAGCTGTAGCTGCTTCATAGTGAATGCTTCCCAAATGGCAGTTACCATATACTGGTCACATGACCAGTGTATCCTAGCTTAGCTGCTGTTGATATCTTGGATTAGGCTGAGGGTGGGTAGAAAGTTCCTTTCCTGATGTGCCCTCCGTCTTGGTGTGGCTGTTCTAGGAAGGGGAAGCTGCAGGTGCCAGTCCAGAAGAGATCTTCTCAGCTCTACAGTATTCAGGCACTGAGGTGCCCCTACAGTGGTTGCGCTCAGAGCTGTCCTATGTCCTGGAGATGGTGGCCGAGATGGCTGGACAACAGGACCCAGAGCTGGGTGCCTTTTCCTGTCAGGAAGCCCGGAAAGCTTGGCTGGATCGTCATGGCAACCTTGATGAAGCTGTAGAGGAGTGTGTGAGGGCCAGGAGAAGGAAGGTACCTGTTACACTAGAGGCGGAATGGGGTTGAGAACCCACAGTCTCTTAGTATTTTTTCTTGCTTGTTTGTCCTTTTTCACTCCTCTCTGCTTCCAATCTGCAGGTTCAGGAACTCCAGTCCCTGGGCTTTGGGCCTGAAGAAGGGTCTCTCCAGGCATTGTTCCAGCATGGGGGTGATGTGGCTCGGGCCCTGACTGAACTACAGCGCCAACGCCTAGAACCCTTCCATCAGCGCCTATGGGACAGAGGCCCTGAGCCCACTCCCTCATGGGATGGGGTAGATAAACAGGTGCTGGGAGGAGGCAAGGCCCCAAGAGCCCACTTAAAGGAGCAAGAGAAGACTGGGGGAGAAGATCCTTGGGGTCTGACAGCCACTTCTGTCTCCTGAATCACATTGCAGAGCCTGGTCCGTCGGCTTTTGGCAGTCTATGCACTCCCCAGCTGGGGCCGAGCAGAGCTGGCATTGTCACTGCTGCAGGAGACACCCAGGAACTATGAGTTGTTGGATGTGGTAGAGGCCGTGAGGCACAGCCAGGACCGAGCTTTTCTGCGCCGCTTGCTTGCCCAGGAATGTGCTGTGTGCAGTTGGGCCCTGCCTCGAAACCGGGTAAGTCCCTCCCCACTATCTCTGATCTTAAAATTTACTCTGCTCTTGGTAAACTGCCCTTCACCCAACACTGCCCCATCTGCTCTAGCTGAAGGCTTCTGTGAAGGGAAGTGCAGCAACAACTCCTTTTAAAAATGTTGGAAACTAGCCGGGCATGGTGGTGCACGCCTTTAATCCCAGTACTTGGGAGGCAGAGGCAGGTGCATCTTTGTGAGTTCCAGGCCAGCCTGGTTTACATAGTGAGTTCCAGGACATCTGGGGCTACAAGGAGATCCTGTCTCCAAAAAAGACAAAAAAAAAAAAGAAAGAAAGAAAGCCCTGAACCTAAATTTCTTATCTTACACAAAACTTAACTCCAAATGAATGCAGACCTAAATATAAAACTATAGAATCTTTAGGGAGGAAAAAATTAAAAATTTCAGA